GCAGCGCACAGATGGTCACAACGCTGCCCCATCCTCCAAGGGGAGGTTCCCGGTGTTGGGCTGTCTCTATGGCTTGCCTGTGCCCTGAGGGGTGACCCTTCCCTTCTCACTCCCGCCGCAGCCCCCAGATGACCACCACCTGCACATGAGCTGTGCCTGGATCTCACCTCTGGCCTGATCCCCACCCTGTCATCCTCACACTCTTCCCATCATACCCTTCACCTGGAACCTGGGCTTAGAGAGGACACACTGCAGAAGCCTCTGGGGGCCCCCGGGGCCCAGCCACCAGCTCTCACCCCTGCGTCCACCCCTCATGCCTCTTGTCTGCAGCACCAGGAGAACCAGGAGGAAGCTGGGAGCAGTCATCCTTCCTGCCCACTTCCCAACTCCCCTTTTAGCCAATCCCACAGGACCTGTGACAGCGTCTGCACCAGGGCTCCCACAGACAGACAGAGTCACGGGGACCTGCTGATGCGTTTATGGAGAAGCAGTAGAGAAAGGTGAGGCACAGGGAAGGGGGGGGTGGGTCAGGAGAGCCAACGGGGGAGCGGCTTCCAAGAGTCACAGCTCAGATGGGGGGTACAAAGGTGTGCGGTGGTCCTGGAGTCCTGTGAAGCAGAGAAGGTCAGTGAGTCAGGAAGAGGGGCTGCAGCAGTGGGGGAAGGCTGGGACGTCAGGCGCTCTGCCCAGTGGACTAAGCGGAGGACAGAGGTTGTCCCCAGGCTTCCCGCAATGCTCCATGCCCATGGGAAGAGGGGACACGTGACTTCGGGGTGGCAGATGGCGAAGGAAGGGCAGGATGCGGTCTGGCTCTGCCCACATGTGGAAGGCCATGTTGGGCAGTTCTCTAAACCTCCATCTCCCAAGCATCACACAGCAAAGAGGAAGCCAGGAATTCTGCTGGACCCCGGGCATGGCTGCCACATTCTTTGAAGCAATCCATGGGGTAAATGGAGTCACCATGACAGCCAAGGGGTAAGAGCCGGGTGGGGGAGGAACTGCCATCTTCAGACAACTACACGGAGGATATGAGAGACGTGGATTCATTATCTCCACCCACTAACCAACTGTAGAGCACTGAGGAGGGCAGATGCTTGGTGTCCAGGGAAAGCTATCCATGAAGGAAATGTGATTGTAATGCCCATGGACAGAGAAAGTTCCAGTACCAAGCCCATACCTGACTGTACAGGCAGTCTCTGGCCCCCGAGTTAGACCACAGAGCTTTCTGAGACCATGTTGACCCCAAGGCCAGGATTTTCGTGTGTCCCCTCAAACTGACCACTTACCCTAATCCCATTCTGGAGAGCAGGTGTCTGTCAAGAAAGAAAAACATGGCTCAGGAGACTGGGAATTCAGTCAGGACCCCAGGACCTAATCAGCCAGCATCTCCCCAATCCCTAAGGTCAAAGCTGGGTGAGAGGCAGCCTGCTGTCCTGACCCCCAGGACCTAATCAGCCAGCATCTCCCCAATCCCTAAGGTCAAAGCTGGGTGAGAGGCAGCCTGCTGTCCTGACATGACTTGGTGAGTCCCCTGGGTGGGGTAGGGTAGAATCCGGCAGCTTCCTGCCTACCGATCTGCCTGGGGATGATGATGTTCTCCGTGTTGAGGCCTCCGGCTCTTACAGCGTTCTCAAAATCCTCCAGGGCTTCCTGGTTGATGTTGGGGTCCCTGCCTGTAGGTGAGGCCAGGGTGGGACACGGGAGTGAGGGGCAGAGCTAGGGAGCTGCTGGAATTTCCTTCCCAGCATAGAGGACTGAGCACAAACTGGGGTGAGCAGAGAGCTGGTGTCCCCTGTGTGCGGACCTGACCTAGAACCCTGAGGCTCAGAGGAGGCCTGGCTAGGACAGGAAGACCAGGGAACCACAAGTGTCCTCCAGGTGCCATAGCAGCTGACCTAGCAGACACAGGGCCTCTCTCTCTCTCTCTTCAGTACTCCTGAGCTTCCCCTGGGCAGGAGGCAAATTCTGAGCCCAGCCTCACCCTGGTGGGATCTGTCAGCCTGGACTCAGGGCTGCATGCTGTCTGCCTGCTCTGTGTTGACACATACGCAGCCTGTGGGGGAGCTCAGGAGGCTCAGAGTGGCTTCTAGCCTCTGTGCTCAGGCCTGGGCTTTCTGTGCTGACTCCTGTTTCCACACCATCCTCTTCCCAGCTGGAACCCCACAGGATTGGGGCTCATTTGACCCAGTGATCTTGACCCATCCCAAAATAATCAAGTTATTAGGAATCTGCGGCTCTGGGTGACTCACCCACAAGTTCACCA